TTTTCACATGTTTTTAAATATTAGTGTGATTTTAGTATTTTGTGATGAATCAAAGGGGAGAAATGGAATGTGATTCATTTTATATATAATTGTATATATCATTTTTAGTTGATATTGATGTTTTAATTTGAATGTGTTGTTTTGCAAAATATACTGTTTGGTCTTTTCTTTTCTTCCAGAAGCAAATGGGGGAATGTGTAGAGGGGATTCAAATACTCAGACATGGACAATATGAATGGACTGGAGGAAGTGGAACAAGGAAGGTGTGGAAATGTTCAGATTCCATCATCGACGTTGCATTGGAAGTCGACACTGCTGAGGAGATGAAGTGTAGTGGACTACATTCCAGTGTCTGCAATGATAAATAGACATATTTGCATGTGTAATACATAATTTGTGTCATATTCTTTCTGTATACATTTTTGAAGAATGATATTTGCTGTTATTGGGTACATGTGGGGATCTCAGATGTTTTTGTTTATTTCGTGGATGCTTAGGGATATTGGGTCTAGGCAGGGATAGAGAGAATCCACATGAGGGTCCGATGGGTCGACCAGCCTGAATGTGGACATTTTTGATTGTATTTTGTTTGCTGAGGCTGTCATGTGTATTCAAATTGCATCATATTCTAAAATGCATTGATAAAGATTCATGAATTGATCTGGAGTACTTAAGTGGTTGCCTGGGGCAGAGGGGCCGTGAGAGAATTTTACTGTCTTGATTGATGGATGGATATTTGGAAAGAAAGCTGCCAGACAGGTTTTTCGCTCTCACACTCCATAAAGATTTGTTCATATTTCATAGAAATGTATTTACACTCCATAGAAAAATTTGTTTTTGGTTTATTGTTAAAGATACTCAATAAGAGAAATTGTTATTTGTCATAATCCTATTCTTTTTGTTTTCGAGACTTAATTAGTCTCGAAGGGGGGAAATATGTGGTGTCTAAGCAATTCATGACTTTGCTAACGTTTGCAAATGGTATCTTAGAGGATGTTGATTCAGCTTAGGGAAGCATCTGGAGAGCAGTTCTATAGGGGCACCCTAAAACAGAGGAAGTCTGTTGTGTGGAGTCATGGGATTGGTCTGTAGGGGAAACCACCCATATCATGTTAAAGATTATAAATACTTGGTTGGGACAAAGGAGGACAGAACAACATATTAGATCGGGTCCGTTGTTCTCCAGATGCCTGCAGATGTCTGTAAATTTACGCTGAAATCTTTTGAAATAATAAACCTTTATAATCAAAGTACAGTGTAAGCGGACTCCTTGTTCTCACAGCATAATTAGCATCATTATTTAGATACTACATAGGTTTATGGTTTCTTACTCATCCCCCTCTCTATCTTGCCATCTCTCCCTCCCTCCCGCTCTGTTTCTCTCTCTCCCTTCTGTGTTCCTCAGGTGGTGTATTATCCAGGCTCATTGGGAGCAGTTGGAGGAGATGGAGTCTCTGTGTTGTAGAGAGGGGACACTGTTGTGCCAGCAGCATGATATGGTGAGAACTCAGCACTTTGTACATGCAAGTATTCCAAAGAGAGATATATCAATATACTAGCTGATAAATCATGGATCGGATTCATTAGATTCTTTGCGATTACTATTTCTGTTGGTGAATAGGACACTTGGTTTGAGAGTAGTGCTCTCCATTGACTGTCTACCATTTGTTGATTGCGACCAAAGAAAGATGGACAGAGGTCACCTCATGTATAACTTCTGATTGAGTTTCACTGTACATCCTAGAGGACTGAGGAGATGCTAGACAGTCATAATCTTCATCATGTCTCAGGAATACCAGACCAGATACAATTTTTGTGCCCAACCACAAGAATGTACACAGAAGTAATCTTAGGCCAACATTGACATTTGACAGTACAATAGGCCTCCTTGACAAACATTTCTCAGTCTTCGGTTATTCTGTCATGAACAGAGAAGATCCTAGTTTTCAGAGTAGGAAATGTATTGCTGTCCGAGCAGCAGAGTCCCTGATTTTGCAGATAGCAGCTATTTTGAACATTTTGCAATGATTGTGTGATGCATATGTGGTTGTACCTACCTTAGTTGAATGCACTGATTGTAAGTTGCTCTGGGTAAGAGAAGACGGCCTGCTAAATGACTAAAATGTCAATGTAAAATGTACTGCTTTGCTTGTGTCCAGTGAAGATAGTCGTGGGGCAGGAATAAAATCCATTGGTCTCTTGATTGATAACTAACATTTTGGGTTTGAGCTCACAAAATAGTTTAATCACATTGTGTTTTCGCCCTATGTCTATATCAGACTGTAATACCTTCCTTTTCTTTGGTCATTTTGGTAGATAAGAATTAACATAAGATGTGATTCCCTTGAGCAGGGGTGGGTAACGTAAGGCCTGCGGGCCGACTTCGGCCCGTGAGCCCATTCAATCTGGCCCGCGGGAGGTTTGAGTAAAGGCTCAGACACACAAATAGCATTTGCTGGCCAAGAGTACTTAGCACCTCTGAACTTAATTTGCGAACCAAGTGCGCTGAATGATAAGCATACCAACACTAGATCCACATTCTGTGTTTTTTGGAGGTTAAAAAACACTACAGGCAACTTTTGAACATCTAAAACTAGACAAAGTATATAGAAATCATACATTTTCAAATAACTGCCCTTTTTCTGGCCCGCTAAAAAATATCTGTGCGACTCTCCTCTGAATTTTGAAATCCCGATGTGGTTGGCGATTTACTGCCACCTACAGTTATGGGGGTGGGGAGATGCTATACTAACCTCATGAATATGCATAGACCGTCTCGAATTTCAACAGGGACAACTCTGATATAAAGTGTTTTTTCTCAAAGTTGCCTGGATGTCACGTGCATAACACCCTAAGCATTATGAAACTTATATTAGATCAAATAAGCCACCTATCAAAATAGCAATACATTTTTTTCTTGACTAAATTCGACACTCTGTCATTGACCCCCCCCCCCCCATACAAAAACTCCTCAATTGCTAAAAAAAAAACATTTTTAAGAACAGGAGAATCTCTTTAATTATTCATGATCTGGACACATTTGGGGCTGAGGAAACCCTCTCTCTTCGCCTCTTTCTCTCTGACTGCGCTTTCCTGAGGTGGAGGGAGCAAGCACGTACACGAGCAGAGTGCGTAAAACCATCTGATCTGCTAGGCCTGTTGTGAGTGGCTGGTTCAGTTATTTAGGGTTGAACAACAGTGCGGTGGGTCACGTGACGCCATCTGCTGCTGGCTGAGCGAAGCGTGTTAACAGGTAAAGAAATAAAAAGGTTTGTTATGATAACATAAACGAAAAATACAGTGCGGGCAGTTGTTGTATGCGTTTGATCCACTTCACTGCAGTAATACTATTCGAGAAGAGACAGACTGGGCCATCATTTCACGTTACCAGTTAGCCACTTAAGTGCTAAAGTGACGACGAGGTGCGGATGGAGCTAGCGAGATGCTAGCCCTGCCGTACCAATTGCATTGTTCGATCGTTTTCAAATGCTAGAAACATTTGCTAGTATGCTATCAGCTAACCCACGGGTCAAGTAGTAACTACTGGTTAGTTAGCCATGTTCACACGCTTCTAGTTAGCAAATAGTTTCGGGTTACATTATAGTACTTTATACAAGTTATACATAGCTGACGTTACTACATTGTATTAGTTAATTTAACATAAGTTGACGTGTGTGGAGTAACTAATGTTTCTGGTCGAATGTGAGCGACCAGTAGTAGCTAGCTAACTGGCTAATATTAGCCGGTTACACACAGACTTCCGTCCTCAACATTGTTTATTTTTATCTCAGAGAACTCAAGTGATCTGCTGTGAATTAACGTCGTAAGCATGCTTGTCTATGGGGCAGTATGGGATTAATACCTAAAACATTTGGATATTTAACGTTGAGGCAATTAGCTAGTTAGTTTGGGCTTTGTCCGATCTCAATTTGGACATTTGAACAAAGACTCTTTATTGGCAATGTTATAACTAACGTTAGTTAGCAAGTCAACGTTAGTCATCCTCTTGACATGTGAATCATCGAAATAAACAAGCGCTGAAGCTATAATTTTGGGATGCACTGATTCCTGCAAATAACGCAATCCTGCTAACAAATATTTTAGTAAGATTTATTTTCGTTCAATAACGAAGACGCTCGTCTAAATTAGCTACCTAACTACCCTAGCCTAATTTAGTAGTTAGTTAATATAATCAAAATCTGGTTTGTTCATGTGTTCCCACCCGGATTAGAGAACGCAGATGTCACAATATCTAATAATGGCAGTTGTTTTGTTAGCGAGACGAGTGCCAACAAGCCAGCTACGCACTACCATAATATTAAATTAATCAATTGATTTTCCAACTGACGTTAGCTAACTACCTAGGCCATATATCCGCTTGCCAGTCCGTTAGCGAGGCCTAATTTAGCTAACTAACGTTAGTTGTTTTTATTAACTTCACGGGCACATTAACCCTTGGCACGTCGCAAATTCGTTTTTTGCAATCCCAAATGGCTGCCCATGATTTGGAATAGGCGCTGTGGGTTGCACAAGGCCCGAGTTAGAACTTTCAAAATAGCTGACTAAGCTACGTTAGCTACACGCACTAGCTTCATATTCACCGCCATACCAAACTACTTGGCCATGTCAATACAGAGCAACATAATTGCCCTGTTTTATAAGTAGTCAATACTCACAGTGCCATTTTATAAACTCGAGTCTATGATGTTCTAACCTTAGCCAGATGTATGTATGATGCTTGTTTGACCTGTACATCTAGCTATGTTTGTGAGACAGTTTTTGACTGCATGAGAGATGTAAGCTGACACCAGAACAACCACCCCCTGGTCTGGATGTCTAAATTTAAACATGAGGGGCAATGGATGGGGTTAGTCTTACATAGCACAGGCAAAGTTAACAAAAGCAAGGCTCCGTACTGTATACAGTACAGAGATCCAAGGCTTGTCTAGCAGGTTTAAATTATTGATGTCCCTTTCACTGATTGAAGATCCCCCATAATCTGTTTCAGATTTTTCTATTTTGTACATACATTGTTTTGTATATACTGTATATGATGACTTCAGTGGTCAGCAATCCAGCTCGAGGAACTCGGGACAGAGCGCTGCCCACTACCACACAAACCACACAGCCACAGAAACAGATACAAGTGAGTTTCATACACACTTTCAGAGTAGCGTCACAATGTACACTGTGTACCTTTTGGTTCTCATGTTATTCTTGCCATTACAGTAAACATTTTTTATGTGCATATCACTTTTTATAGTCTCATTACACAAGCCAACAATAGTTGCCGTGTGTGTAACTGCCCTCTTTGAATGCAGGCCACAGCAGAACAGATTCGGCTTGCCCAGATGATCTACGACAAAAATGATGCAGACTTTGAGGATAAGGTCAAACAGGTGAGTACAGTGTGAAACAAGTTGTGAAAATGTGGCATATTTATGTAGCCTAATCTGTGTATGATTAAGTACAGTACCAATGCACACTAGCCCCACACCTGTCTGTGTGGGTGTGTTTGTGTCAGTAAAGCTGAGTTGTTTATGTGCACACTTGCTGATTGTGTTCCCCCAGCTGATTGAGGTGACTGGGAAGACCCAAGATGAGTGCATGGTGGCCCTCCATGACTGCAATGAGGATGTCAACAGAGCCATCAATTTCCTGCTGGAAAGCACCTCTGACACAGTGAGGGTCCCCGCAGGCGCTCACGCGCACCCATGCTCTGACACATCCAGTGGCACGAACTCTCATTAAAGTGGTAATCTGTAGTTCAAACAACAACAGTGGACACCTCGCTACTGTTTTGGTAAACAGCTGAGTGATAGGGCTGAAGAAATGTAACCACTCTCAAATTCATAGACCGATTTATGGACTGACCATCCATGAGATAAAAATGATAGTTTTACCATGTTTTGTGGCTATAGTGTTTGTTTACATTGTTTACAAACAAAGGAGTAAAACACGGTTGTATTTTGGCTTCTGATGGAATGTGATAGTTGAACTAAGCTAATGTGGCATTTTTAAGTTCTATTCTTTAAGAATCCATGAGTATACATAATTGATTTAAAGGTAAACATTTTTGGGGGGGGTGTACCAATTGCAGATAGCCCCTTTAACCACTTGACTAATCAGTACCAAGTTTGCACTCTATATTCTCAGAACCTAAATCTACTACCTATTTTCCAAGTTTGCTTATTTAGTGTTGAGTGTCTTCGTGTTTGCAATAAGTTATCTTTGTCTGTCAGACCTCCTGGGAGACAGTTGGGAAAAAGGCGCGAGGCCCGGGGAAGGAGGGAGTACCCTCGGAGATGAAGGACAACCGAGAGAAGAGAGGAGATCGCGATGCAAGCCGGGGCCGCGGGGTCCCCAACAGGAGGGGCCGTGGAACCAACCGTAGCAGAGAGGGTGAGAGGGACTCCCAAGGGAGAGATGTGATAGGAAGTGTGTTAGATAAATCCCATCTTTGTGTTTTTGAGTGTGTTGACTTGTATGTAATTGTTTCTCTCTTTGCCTCTCCTTTTAGTGCGGCCAGAGGAGAATGGGTTTGCAATGTGTTCTGTGGATAAAGTGGCCGACCGTGGTCGCAGGGAGAGGGGCGTTGTTGGCAGAGGTGAGTGTTACTGCTACTAAGAAATTGATGTACACTACACGCCCAAAAGTATGTGGACACCTGCTTGTTGAACATCTCATTCCAAAATCATGGGCATTAATAAGGAGTTGGTCCCCCCTTTGCTGCTATAACAGCCTCCACTCTTCTGGGAAGGCTTTCCACTAGATGTTGGAACATTGCTGCAGGGACTTGCTTCCATTCAGCCACAAGAGCATTAGTGTGGTCGGGCACTGATGTTGGGCGATTAGGCCTGGCTCGCAGTCGGCGTTCCAATTCATTCCAAGTTGTTCGATGGGGTTGAGGTCAGGGCTCTGTGCAGGCCAGTCAAGTTCTTCCACACCGATCTCAACAAACCATTTCTGTATGGACCTTGCTTTGTGCACGGGGGCGTTGTCATGCTGAAACAGGAAAGGACCTTCCCTAAACTGTTGCCACAAAGTTGGAAGCACAGAATCGTCTAGAATGTCAGTGTATGCTGTAGCGTTAAGATTTCCCTTCGCTGGAACTAAGGGGCCTAGCTCAAACCATTATTCCTCCTCCACCAAACTTTACAGTTGGCACTATGCATTGGGGCAGGTAGCGTTCTCCTGGTATCCGTCAAACCCAGATTCGTCCGTCGGACTGCCAGATGGTGAAGTGTGATTCATCATTCCAGAGGTGAATCTGCTCCAGAGTCCAATGGTGGCGAGCTTTACACCACTCCAGCCGACGCTTGGCATTGCCAATGGTGATCTTAGTGTTGTGTGCGGCTGCTCAGCCATGGAAACCCATTTCATGAAGCTCCCGGCAAACAATTATTGTGCTGACGTTGCTTCCAGAGGCAGTTTGGAACTCTGTAGTGAGTGTTGCATCCGAGGACAGACAATCTTTACGCGCTTCAGCACTCAGCGGTCCTGTTCTTTGAGCTTGTTTGGCCTACCGCTTTGCGGCTGATCCGTTGTTGCTCCTAGACGTTTCCACTTCACAATAACATCACTTACAGTTGACCGGGGCAGCTCTAACAGGGCAGAAATTTAACGAACCGACTTGTTGGAAAGTTGGCATCCTATGACGGTGCCACTTTGAAAGTCAATGAGCTCTTAAGTACGGGCCATTCTACTGCCAATGTTTGTCTGTGGAGATTGCATGGCTGTGTGCTCTATTTTATACACCTGTCAGCAACGGGTGTAGCTGAAATAGCCGAATCCACTAATTTGAAGGGTGTGTACACATACTTTTGGACATGTAGTGTATCTGAATTCTATAGCACTGATGCAATGCATATTATTCGATGTTGGTTATTTGATAAATCCATTGCATCGGGAGCGTTAGTGTGCAGATACATTCTTACTTTTCTAAGTGTTCTGTCTGCCTGCACCTTTGTCAAATCCGTTATGTTTTTTTTGCCCATTGTACTGTTACTGGCCAACATGACCCAATGTACCACCAAGCCTTGTTGTACCTTGCCACGCCCTGCACCACAATAAGATTCCACTTTGCCATGCTATACAACAGCCTCTACAATAATCCTCCCTGATCTTAGCTGTGCTAAACCCACTCGCTATAGTCGACCGTGCCCTTGTGTACCCGAAATGGCATGTAAAGTGGGTATTTGTGTATCTAGTTGGTGTAGGGTTTTAGTTGGCAATGTGTCCATTTGTGTCAGCAATTACTGCAAGTGCCATAACGTGTGATATGTACAGTGTCTTCAAAGTATTCGTACCCTTTGACTTATTCCACATTTTGTTGTTACAGCCTGAATTTAAAATGACATAATTTCTCAATACCCCATAATGACAGTGAAAACAACATGTTTTTATTTTGTAGCAAATTTATTGAAAATGAAATACAGAAATATCTAATTTACATAAGTATTCACACCTGAGTCAATACTTTGTATATGCACCTTGGGCGGTGATTACAGCATTGAGTCGTCTTGGGTATGTCTTTATCAGCTTTGCACATCTGGTTTTGGGGATTTTCTCCCATTATTCCTTGCAGATTTTCTCAAGCTCTTAAATTAGATGTGGAACGGCGGTGAACAGCAATCGTCAAGTCTTTACACAGACTGGCTGGGCCACTCAAGGACTTTCACATTCTAGTTCTGAAGCCATTCCAGCATTGCTTTGGCTGTATGCTTGGTCATTGTCCTGTTGGAATGTAAATCTTAGCCTCAGTCTGTCGTTTGCACTCTGAAGTAGGTTCTCCTCAAGGATTTGACTGTATTTGGCTCCATTCATTGTTCACTCTATGCTAATCAGTCTCCCAGTCCCTGCCGCTGAAAAGCTGTCACACCATGCTTCACGGTAGGGATGGTGTTAGACGGGTGTTGAGCTGTGCCTGGTTTTCTTCAGACATTGCAATTTGCTTTCAGGTCAAAGAGTTAAATTTGTGTTTCATCATACCAAAATCTTTTGCCTTATCTGTCTTTCACATGCCTTTTTGCAAACTTCAGGCGTGCTGTCATGTAACTTTTTCTCAGGAGTGGCTTCCGGCTGGCCTCTGTAGAAACTGTTGTCCTTCTGGCAGGTTCTCCCTTCTCAGCCAAGGAACTCTGTAGTTCTGTCAGAGTGCTTCTTGCCCGGTTGCTCAGTTTGGTCAGACGGCCAGCTCTAGTCTGAGTCTGGGTAGCTCCATATTATTTTCAATTTCTCAAGGATGGAGACCACTCTGCTCTTGGAAACTTTCAACACGATATAAATTGTTTTCTACCCTTCCCCAGATATATGCCTCATCACAATTCTATCTCAGAGATCTACGGACTGTTTCTTGGACTTGGATATGGTGTCTGCTCTGACATGCACTGTCAACTGTGGGACCTTATATGGACTGGTGTTTCTTTCTCAAATCATGTCCAAACAATTTAATTGGCCATAGGTTGACTCCAATCAAGTTGTAGTGACATCTCAAGGATGATCAAATGACATTGGATGCACCTGAGAGCAATTTGGAGTGTCATAGCAAAGGGATTTTAATGAATATGTAAATTAGGTTTCTGTATTTTATCTTCAATGCATTTGCAAAACATTTCTGAACATGTTTTCACTTTGTCATTATGGGGTGTTGTGTGTAGTTGTGTGAGAAATAAATATTTAATCCATTTTGAATTCAGGCTGTAACACAAAAAAATGTGGATTAAGTCAAGATATACGACTACTTTTTGAAGGCACTGTACTGTCCTGCAGCTGTTATAGAGCGGGGAGGGGTGGTGGACAAGCCAGGGAGGTTGTTTTGGTTGGGACAAAGTCAGACAGACATGCAGAGTGAGGGAGTGGAGTCATGAGTGATGGCAGTTGCTGTCTGTAAATGTATTTATCATATGTCCTAAGCTGTCTAGGCTAAGTCAATCCTTGTGTACTGATCTAAGACCTGTCAAATGCTGTCACTAATGCTGTCAGCCTGAAGTCTAAACACTGATTTCTGATAAGCAAGTAGTGTCAGGTTTTCAGTCTGTTCAAAATTCTCTACCAGTCTGCATGGGTAACTGACCCATAGCAACATACTCAACATACTGTACCATGCCCCCCCCCCCAACCTGTTTTGAAGCAATACATATCAGACATTTGTGCAGAAAACATGTCTGTTTTAAAACGCACAGACATCAGGTGTGATTATTAGACTGGTGTGTGTCTTGCAGCAGAGGTCAGACGTAGTGTTTCTGTGTGTCTTTAGGGTTGGGGGGTCACGGAAGGGGAAGAGCAGCTGGTGGTAACAGGTTCTCCTCTCAGGGGATGGGGTGAGTTGAAGATCCACACTGGAGAAGATCTCCCGCTGTTCATGTCTATTCAGTTGTGTATTCTGTGGTTTTTGTGTGTGTGTGTGTGTAGACGTGGCTGTTTCACTGTATCATAGCATTGCTTAATAATGAAGATAATGATTACAAGCACATAGTTGAACCCCTAAACCACCTCTCCCCACCTAAGGATCTTCAACCCCGCCGACTACAACGCTAACTCTGGCGCATCTTGCCAGGAAACTTGGGAAGCAGAGGGGAACGAAGGTGGAGATGGTACAGGTGAATAGGGTTGGGTGGTATCTCGATTTTCATACAGTTTCTGTATGATCCCGGGGTATGCGGTGTTACTGAATGTGCACACAAGGGGTGCTATAAAAAAAACTCACAAAACATTGTGGCAACAGGGATCTTGATCCAGGAGGGGATTGAATGTCTCTGCTTAACCAAGAAGCTTGATCTTGACATCTAAGTCATGACTGTAAGTCGCTTTGGATAAAAGCGTCTGCTAAATGGCATATTATATTATCTAGCCACTTAGCTAGCAAGTTAGCAAACCAAATACAAACCCCCCCCCCCCTTACAGTAGATTCTATACGGTCAAATAGGTATGCCTGAGGTCTGAAATGTAGCCTGCTCCTTTTCGAAGTGTAGGTTTTAGAGCTTTAAAGCATGGTTGTAGTAGTATAGTCCTGGACACAGTTGGAGCAGTGCGGTTTGGCCTCAACCAGGATTGTGTTCATTAGGCACCGAAAAGGAAGAAGGGGACTACCTGGGTTTGTCCAATAAGAAACACAGTTGTTTTCCTTCGTGATACGTTGTAAAGCGTTTTCGCCGTGCGTCCCTAATGAACACAACTCTGAGTTGTGCTACTGACTAAGCTCTGTTGGACAGAGGGGTACCCCCCCAGGCATGATGACTAACTCGCGTACCCCTTCTGTCCCCTACCATCTCATAGGAGGAACATGGAGAGGCAACTTGGAAGACTGGGCCGCAGAAGACTGGAATGAGGATGTGAGTGATGGTCTCCACTTTTGACTTTGTTATAGTGGTTACACAAGCACACACACAAACGGTTCTCTTCCTGATATTTCTGTTTTTATCAACAGCTGTCTGAGACCAAAGTGTTCACTGCCTCTGCTCCTGCGAACCACATCACATCTGGACACAAGTAAGGGCTCCAATCTAATGCTCACAGCAAAGCAGACTTAACCCTGTGAAAAACACTATCTCTGTCATCTCTCACCCAGTCTTATAGCACGAATTCTCACAACAAAATAACAGTAAAATGGCTGGTTTTGGAATGTGACGGTTTCATAGTAATGATATGAGATGTGGGTGTATGTAATTGTTTCTCTGTATTGGCTTGTCAAATGATGGAGATGATGGTTACAAGCACATAGCTGAACCCTTTGTGTGTGGAATACCTCAATCTCCTTTCTTCTGGTTACTGAATTATTTTTCCATTGCATTCACTCTTCTCAACTTCTCATTGAGAGAGCGATATATAAATGAGAGGGGTATTATGAATAAATAGAAGTGATATTACATTGTGACAAAGCGGGGGAAAAGAAGCAGGATCAGGGTACAACACTAAACTATCCATTCAGTGTCCCATTTGTAAACTGTACTGGTTGTCGTCTTTCCTCTCCAGTGTGGACCTGGGCTCGCTGCTGCCGAAGACGGGCGGTGTGGAGCTGGGTGGCATGGAGCCCCCTGCCGCTGAGGGCGTGGGGGGCCAGAGCCTGGTGTTCACCAACTCCCACCACAACGGCACTCGCACCACCACACACAGCTATGCCAGCGCCGCTGCCAACAGCTATGCTAGTGCCGCCTCTGGTACCAGCTACGCCCACGGGGCCCTGGTAAGGCAGCCACACACACATCCTTTACATGTTTACACACGCGTATTCTTCTGCTTATACATACACACTAGTAATATGCTTTTAAGTGAAGTTACACACATCTGTACAGGCTTACTCACACAGACACACTATCAACTCTCTCCTCTCTCTCTGTCCGTCAGTCCTCAGTCCTGGGCTCTGTTTTTGGGGCTCTGAGTGGGCCCAAGCCGACCCTGGCTGAGGTCAGGATACCAGAGAAGCTCAACGGTCCCCGGCTCACCCCGCGGACCAATCAGCAGCTGGTCACCGCGGGCAACGGCAGTGTCGCCAAAGAATCCGGTCCACCTGCAGCTCAAGGCTCTGCTCCCATTTCTGCCTGCAAAATCAAGGCCCCGAGAGTGGAGAATGGCCCTGTTCCAACCTCTCACTGTAAGACACACACATGGGTACTATCATATGGAAAACCTTCAAGTGAAGTGTGGGTACATGTTATTGTTTGTCTGTATCGACTTGTCGAATAGGAGGAGATAATGATGGTTACAAGCACATAGCTGAATCTTAATATGTGAACTACTTCAATGACTGAATCTCCTTCCATCCTCAAATTGCATTCTTTCCCCCAATACATTATCACTCTGCTGAACTTCTCATTCTACCCCCCCCAAAAAGTAAAATGTATGGAGATCTAATGGTGACACAGTGGGGGGGACACAGCCTCATGGTACATAGCAAAGCTTCAGTCAGTGTCCCAATGTAAACTTTGCCACACACATAGCCAGTCCCAATTCACTCTTCCCGCCCTTCCCCTGGGTCCAAACCCATTTTGATGTTTGCAGATTTGATGAGTCAGATCTGTATTTACTGGACTGCTAATGCCACCAATAACCACTCTGTCGGGCGCTCTCCGTCTTCTCCAGTGGATCTAAAGATGCAACCAGAGCCGTCCGCTGTCCTCAGCCAGCTGGCCCAACGGCAGCAGCAGGCCCAGCAGAGCTCCCTGCCCCAGGCAGAGCCTCTGTCTCATCCCCCCCAGGTCCCTACTCCCCCAGGCCACTACGACGCCGGGCCCCTGCCTCCCAGAGACGGACCTTCCCTGGACCACCAGGCTCCCATGGCTGAACCCCCACAGAGGCTGATCAAGACCCAGAGACGCAGAGTACCTCCTCCTTCCAAGGTTAGGAAACGTATGTGGAAATAGAGGCTGCCTGCTCACTCAGAGGGTACATTCAATTAGTGTTTGTTTCTCAACCATTTGTAAACATATCTAAAAGTACTGTAGGTAAATGCAACTTAGCACGCTGTCAGACATTGGGTCTGAAATGTCTTCGAGCGTTTGTCTGAAAGGGATGGGATTTCATGTGTTAATGTCCCTCTCACCCTCTTTCTTAATCCCTCTTGCTCTCTCTCCTCAGATCCCCTCGTCTGCGGTGGAGATGCCAGGCTCAGCAGACGTGTCTGGTCTCAACGTGCAGTTTGGGGCCCTGGACTTTGGCTCTGAGCCCAGTGTGATTGACATGGGCCACCAGGCCGAGCCTGCCAGGGAGCCGGCCCCCATAGCCGTACCCCAGCCCCAAAGCAGCTCTTTCTCCAAACCTGGACCTGTCAGGTGTTTATTCATTGAATTTTTTGGCTTAATTAGTACCACTGTGTTGTATAGGGATAGAGGCCACGGTGAACTTGTTTTACGCTAACTCGTCCCTTTACCTTGTTGTTACAGTGAGCCCCTGGGCAGCTTGTCGTCCATGCCTCCGTCGATATCAGACCCCAGTTTCCCGTCTCTGGGCTTGCCCAGTGCCACGCTGTCCCCCTCCCTGGGTCTCCCCAGCGCCGCCCCACCCTCCTCCACCCCCTCAGCTACCAGAGTGGACAGTGGCCTCCCGCGGAGCATGCCCCCCCACCTGGGCTACCCCCAGAGCAAAGACGCCCCCGCCGCCCCTCTCACCGTGAGTCACCCACACTGCACTTGTCAGGTGTGGTCAACAGAGACATACTGTCTCGATTAAAAAGACTACTACTCCTGTCACTTATAAATATTGAGATAATGATGGTTACAAGCACATATCTGACTCTTATTATGTGGAATACCTCAGTGACTGAATCTCCTATGGTCAACGGATACTTAAGACCCTCAGGTGTGATTTAATATTACTAGAGCTCTACTATAACAGCACTGTATAGCCGAGAACACCCTTTCAAAACGTGTGTTAGTGTAATCAAGGTGGCCCACTGATGAGAATGTCAATGTCTCCTTTCACAGAATGGCTATGGTGGCGTGAGGACACAGGGCCCACAGGACTGTAAGTACCCAGGAGAATTTGTGGTTGTCAAAGAAGAAACCCCTTTTGAAGGAAAAAGTGTTCTTATTTCATGGTTAAGACAAAAAGTACAGCATGCTTGCTTATCTGTCTCTTTCTCAGCGACGTCGTTGGCCTCTCGAACTCCTAAGCCCGAGTCGCCTCCCATGAGCAGTGACAGTGGCTCCGTCCACCATGTTCCCTCCCCAGCCCCCACACCCTCCCACTCCGCCCCTCTGCCATCCCTCAGCAGGTAAGCCCAGCACTCCCCTCCCCCCAGTCATTCTCATAACGGAGATGATGATGGTTACAAGCACATAGCTGAATCTTAATATGTGGACTACCTCAAAGACTGAATCTCCAATCTCCTCTATTGACTGACAAAATAATGAAGTCCTTGTAATGAGTTGGTTCAACCTTTTTAAAGTCTCATCGGATGATTTAGTAACGTTACCTGTTTTCTCTCCCACGGTCTCCAGTCATGTGACCAGTACATACTCGTCAGCATCTGCCCTCGCCACTAGCTCCTCCCTTACAGTAAGCACAGCGTCTTCTTTTGGGGATAATGTAAATCACGTCCGAAACTGATCTAAAATAAACACTGAAGGTGAAGAGGGGAAAAATGCAACCAAAAAAGCTAAACTGCTGTCAGGCCAACTCTCGCTCTCCCTCCACCCTATAGATGACAAGTGAGGAGAGCAGTAGTCTCCACACCTTCTCCTCTGGTCCTTCCATCAATGCCGCGGTTAGCAGCTCCAACGCCATGATGCATGTCCCCGGAGTGCCTGGTCTATCCGCCAACGGCAACACTGCCCTCTCAGCTGCCGGGCGCACTGCCCAACCACTGCTGAACACCACCTCTGGTGAGTCCAGGATAACCCTGCTGTCACACATAGGTTTGTTATGGTCACTTAACGGTCCTTCTCTCTCTCTGCTGTCGGTATTATTTCACTGTAGACCCGTGTGATTTTGACTCCCCTCTTTCTCTCTCTCATTCTTGTTCCACAGGCAAAGCCCCCCCTAACCTGGCTCAAGGAGTGCCCCCTCTGCTGGCTAATCAGTACATTATGGGCCCTGGAGGCCTGCTCCCCGCGTACCCGGTAACTACGCCAACCCTCTTTATTTTTCTCTTGCTTGCTCTCGTTCTTTGTTTCCATGAATTCCCATCCATTTCTCTTTACCAGTCTCGTTTTCCCCAAGTCTTTCTCTCACCGGCCTGCCATCACACCCTTTCTCTCGCTCTCTCTCTCTCGCTCTCTCTTCCCTTTCATACCATTGGTTCTTGGTTGAATATTTGGATTATTTCAGTTGACCCGTTTCATTTGTTTGTTGTACCGCTCTAAAGCAGATCTATGGATATGAGGACCTACAGATGCTGCAGTCTCGTCTGCCTATGGTGAGTGACCTTTCACACATGGAACATCACTTACTACGTCGATGAAGAGCAATGCAGCACACATTTCTGTTTGCCCAGATGGACTCTCGCACGGTCTCTGGTTTAGATGTAGATTTAGTAGACACAAACATAAATAAATGTTCATGATTAATATTGCATATCTGTGTCCCTGTCATGATATGGAGATGATGGTTACAAGCACATGGCTGAATCATAATATATGGACTTCCTCAATGACTGTTGAATCGGATTATTTGGTGTCTCTCCTGGTGTCTATTTCTCTGTAGGACTACTATGGAGTCGCATTCCCTGGTACAACTGCAACGATGCCTGGCAGAGATGGGCTAGCCAACAATCCATACTCAGGTAAAGCTTGTTCCACACTCATTTACAAATGCACTCTTCTCGGAGGCCAGAACCAGCTCTTGGGTGCACACCATAATATGGAGATAATGATGGTTACAAGCACATAGCTGAATCTTAATTTGTGGACTACCTCAATGACTGAATCTCCCATCTCCTCTGACCAACAGTATAATTAAAGCTTGATTTACTTCTGGTGGTGGAAGTGGCTGAATTGAGCAGAAATAGCTAATTCAGCTCCTACCAACTACTCATACTCACACCTACAGTGCCTTGGGTGTTGCGTGTAGATGGATGATAAATCAATTTAAGCAGTTTTGAATTCAGGTTGGAAGACAAAATGTGGAGTAAGTCAAGGGATATAAATACTTGCTCTCATTCCCTCTTATGCATTTGCCTGTTCTCAGAGGGGAATTCCGACCCGGGTTAAGCACGCGTAAATGGAACCTAATTCCCTTTTTATGCACTTCTCTCTACACGTATTCTGACCTTGAATTTAAGCATGAGAATAGCATGCTATTCACCTGCTATTCGTTGGGGGTGGAGATCAAATAAATTAATCTGTGGGGGAGGTGTCTACAGATATTTTAAATTTTAGTCATTTAGCAGACGCTTTTATCCAGAGCGACTTACAGTTAGTGAGTGCATACATTTTCATACAGATATGCCATATTTGGACCTTGACTTAATTCCCTCCTAATTCCAGCACGATTAAACGATTAAGGTCGAGCAACCTGTCGGTTCCAAGTGGAACAACAGCTACTTCATTATTTCCTATGTAAATAACACCATTCTCCATGCGTTGTAATTTTCTAATTGGTAAGAGCTAGGTAAATGAGTAAGCCCTTTGGATAAGGGGATTGTAAATATAAATGACAATTGTTTTAGATCTATTTTACCTTATGATCGCTGGAGACTAATGTGAAACCAGTCATATGGCAGCAAACTGAAGCATATCACCATCCTTTTCCACAGTGAAGTTGATGAAATGCTGGCCTTTTAACTTGGGATCAAATTGCGGTCCAAACTATAGGCTTCTATAGCCATGCACAAATAACAGTATTGAGCCAAACCTAGAGTTAATTTATGATTTCTAGAATGTTTTAATTACACTGAACAAAAATATAAATGCAACATGCAATGATTTCAAAGATTTTACTGAGTTTTTTTGTATTTATTAAGGATCCCCATTAGCTGCTGCCAAGGCAGCAGCTACTCTTCCTGGTGTCCTGCAACAGTAAGGCAGTTATATACAATAATATTACATGACATATTTCATAAGACTTTACCCAATACATTTAGTGTGTTCCCTCAGGCCACTACTCCACTATCACATATTTACAATACAACATCCATGTGTACGTGTGTGTAGAGTGAGTTACAGTTCATAGAAGGAAATCAGTCAATTAAATAAATTAGGCCCTAATCTATGGATTTCACATGACTGGGAATACAGATATGCATTTGTTGGTCAGCGATACATGTTGCGTGGATTTGGCTATTTCAGCCACACCCGTTGCTGACTGGCATAAAAAATTGAGTACACACCCATAAAATCTTCATAGACAAACATTGGCAGTAGAATGTCCTTGTTGAAGAGCTCAGTGACTTTCAATGTGGCACCGTCATAGGATGCCATCTTTCCAACAATTCAGTTCATCAAATATCTGCCCTGCTAGAGCTGCCCCGGTCAACTGTAAGTGCTGTTATTGTGAAGTGGAAATATCTAGGAACAACAATGGCTCAGCCGCGAAATGGTAGTCCACGCAAGATCACAGAATGGGGGGGGGACCAACTCCATATTAATGCCCATGATTTTGGAATGAGATGTTCGACGAGCACTTTTGGTCATGTAGTGTACATAAAAAAAAAAAAGGTAGGGATCAGAAAGGTGTGTATCAGAAAACCAGTCAGTATCTGACCACTGTTTGCCTCATGCAGCACGACACCTCTCCTTCGCATAGAGTTGATCAGGCTGTTGATTGTGGAATGTTGTCCCACTCCTCTTCAATGGCTGTGCGAAGTTGCTGAATATTGGCCGGAACTGGAACATGCTGTCGTGCACGTCGATCCAGAGAATCCCAAACATGCTCAATGGGTGACATGTCTGGTGAGTATGCAGGCCATGGCAGAACTGGGACATTTTCAGCTTCAAGGAATTGTGTACAGATCCTTGCGACATGGGGCCATGCATTATCATGCTGTGACATAAGGTGATGGCGGTGGATGAATGGCACGACAATGGCCTCAGGATCTCGTCACGGTATCTCTGTGCATTCAAATTGCTATCGATAAAATGCAATTGTGTTTGTTGTCCGTAGCTTATGCCTGTCCATACCATAACCCCACCGCCACCATGGGGCACTCTGTTCACAACGTTGACATCAGCAAACTGTGCGCCGACACAACACCATACACGTTTCAACTGCCCGGTACAGTTGAAACCGGGATTCATCCACGAAGAGTTCACTTTTTCAGCGTGCCAGTGGCCGTCGAAGGTGAGCATTTGCCCACTGAAGTCGGTTATGATGGCGAACTGCAGTCAGCTCAACCCCGGTGAGGACGAAGAGCATGCAGATGAGCTTCCCTGTGGCGGTTTCTGACACAGTGCAGAAATTCTTTGGTTGTGCAAACCCACAGTTTAATCAGCTGTCCGGGTGACTGGTCTCAGACAATCACGCAGGTGAAAAAGACTGATGTGGGCTGTCGTGGTTGTGAGGCCGGTTGGACGTACTGCCAAATTCTCTAAAACAATGTTGGAGGCGGCTCATGGTAGAGAAATGAGAGAAATACGCTTTTTGTGCACATGGAACATTTCGGGGATCTTTTATTTCAGCTCATGAAACATGGGACCAACACTTTACATGTTGCGTTTATTTGTTGTTTTTGTTATAATTTGTCTTATGTAAAATATTAGCCCTCATCTGTAGCCACCGTCAGTTATACCCACATACATTTATAACTGTTAGTGTTAGTTTACCTTTATTTCCTCTGTCACGTTCGTGTGGTTGTTCCTGAGGATCGCTAGCAATAGTGGATCATATTAGACTAACGTATTACAAGTTGTGCAATAATTTGGGACATGTAGCCTATTTGAATCATTATGGAACGCAGACCATACGTAGCAGTTTAAACCTCCCACACGGTTCATGACAACTGGACCGTTGTCATCACAGTTCCATGATTAGTGAGGATTATTAGTGAATATTTATAGGACTATTGTTCAACCCCTATTTTGTTTTAGGTGAAGCGACCAAGTTTGGCCGAGGGGACTCATCGTCCCCAGCTCCCCCCACCAGCCTGTCGCAAGGTCCCTCCGCTCAGCCCCAGCAGCCCCCCCAGGCTCAGAGCCAAGGTCTGGGACAGAGCCAGGGCCAGCAGACCCAGAACCAGGCCTTCCTCAACCCACCTCTGCCCCCGGGCTACGGCTACACCGGCCTTCCTTACTACGCCGGCATGCCCGGGGTGCCCAGCGCCTTCCAGTATGGCCCCACCGTCTTCGTGCCTCCGGCCTCGGCCAAGCAGCCCAACATGGGCCTGGGGAACCCCTCCAGCCAGTACCACCAACAGCATCAGCCCAGCTACGGCCAGCATGCGTATGGAACAGGTGTGTGTGTCAGTGAGCGAGATTGAACTGAAATCACAAACCGTGTGTGTGGCTGAGAGGGAGAGTTCTTGCTTAGCGAGCATGGCCCCACCCCCCTGCAGGATATAGTCGCTGTTCACATGCTATTCTAGCCAGTTGCCTTATTGCTTCTCTCTTGGTTCTTCTTCTTCCCCTTACCCCTCCCCCTTCCTCTGCTGTCCTTTTTACTCTCCCCCTCCACTTTACTCATTCCTCCTGGTCCTCTTCCATTCCTCCTCTCTCTCAGCTTTTGACGACCTATCTCAGGGCCACGCGGGGGAGTACAGTAAGGGAGGGTACGGAGGCTCTGCCCAGTCACAGGCCAAATCAGCTGGCAGCGGCCCAGGGAAAGGTACACTCACTGAACTCAGCTGCCCCAGGACGCACCCCCCTTCCCCTCCCCGCCCCCTTCACTGATCAGCTGTGATATACTACTTATACTACTGTTCTGAAACCCCCCTCACTACTAACCAAGAAATACTCCCTCAGTCACTATTAACTCTTGAAATGGTGAACTCCCTCACTAGAAATGTTGAACATTGCCTACTGGCGCCGTGCCACCTCGTGGGGGCAAACTGACATGTTGTTCGACGTGTCCTCTCGCTCACAGCTCCAGGTTTGTCCGGCTCAGGCAGCAGTGGAGGGGTGCCTGATATGGGTGCTTCAATGTACAGCAAGACACAGGTGAGCTCAGTGACACTCAGTATACCATGGCCCATGATGAAGTCAGTCCACACCTGGTTTATAGTTGTTGCTGTTAGTGTTGTCGTGATACCATGAAGCAAGGGAAACAAAACATGATGCAGATTTAATTTTTTGAGGAAAAACAATCCTAATGTTGGAAAAGAATCTGCCTTATTTTCCAAGCTATAGCACACAATATTTTACAAAATTAGTTTTTAAAGGTTTAGTCTGTTTCATGTTTTCTTTTTTGCCAAAGAAAATGGTATAGTATCATGATACTGGTATCGTGACATCATTAGTTGCTCTATAGTTGTTTAGGCGTTTTAGCCAATGATGTGTATAGAAATCATTGGTTTCAGCCAGGGCATGTCTGAGAAAAAGTGGCTTTAATTGAAACGGCTGGTTGGATTAATTGAGTTTAAGACCACCTCAGTACAACAGGTTTGAAACATGATTTTTTATTTTATTTTACCTTTATTTAACTAGGCAAGTCAGTTAAGAACAAATTCTTATTTACAATGACGGCCTACACCAGCCAAACCCGGATGACGCTGGGCCAATTGTGCGCCGCCCTATGGGACTCTCAATCACGGCCGGTTGTGATACAGCCTGGAATCGAACCAGGGGGTCTGTAGTGACGCCTCAAGCACTGAGATGCAGTGCCTTAGACCGCTGCGCCACTATGAATGAGGATAAATTCAGGATCATACCTCTTATGCTCAGACATTACATAATATAATGGTCCTCTCCAACAACCTCTGCCCCCCCCCACCCAACCCCAGTCTTTTGATAAGCAGGGCTTCCACACGGGAACGCCCCCTCCCTTCAGCCTGCCGTCTGCCCTCGGGGGCACGGGCCCTCTGAACCCCGGCGGTGCCCCCGGTTACGCCCCGCCACCCTTCCTCCACATTCTGCCTGCCCACCAGCAGCCCCACTCCCAGCTGCTGCACCACCACCTCGCCCAAGACGGACAGGTAACACCCCCTCAACCTGTTGTTAATGAACACCAAACACTTACAATCTCCACCTGTTGTTAATAAACACCATAGACATACATGGACTTAGTGTGGGAGCTGGACCACAGTGGTTCAGACTGCCTCCATTAAAAATGAGTGACTTCCGCCGGATTGCCAAGGTTTTAATGCAGTCTGTCAAGATGGGGCGTAAGACTGACGTTACCGTTAACATACCATTAACATATAAATAAGTGGAGATGAGTTTCTGGAATGGGTTCCAATGAGTTTTGACTAGGAAGGGCTGTTTCTGTATATTACCATCTTGCGCAAACAACTTTTCTACCCTCTAGTTAATACCCCTCTCCCTAGTTTAACCCAATAGCCAATAATTGACTGTGGTGTGTGTGTGCGCTTTGTCTCCCCCTGTAGGGTGGTCCGGGTCAGCGCAACCAGTCCAGCAGCATTCAGCAGAAGAGCCAGAGCAACAAGTCCAGTTATGGCAGCCCTTACTGGGCCAACTGAAGGGTACACCTGGGGAGTCTGTCCTGGCCCCCCATCATAAAGGCTCTCTGTGTGTGTGTGTGTGTGTGTGTGTGTGTGTGAAGCTAAACAAAAACGCACTACCCAAACATCCCCCCTCCAACTCCCCCCACTACCCAAACATCCCCCCTCCTCATACATTTTTATTTGTTTTCCCTTTTCAAATTGGTTGTACATGTAAGATATTTATGTATGTATTTATATATATATATACTGTATATGTAATAGTAGAACATGAAATGTGGTTGCTGCATTTTATTTTTGAAAGACGTTTTTGTTTACTTTTTCAAAACTGCAGGAAGTCATTACAAAAATAATAAATATGAGAATTCCTATAGAGGAAAAAGAGAGCTTCAGCACTGAACGAAATGAGGACATCTCAGATGGGGGGTTTCCACATTAACAAACTGCGTTTGTCTCCTTTTTTATACACAACTCTTGAGTTACCCAGCTTATCCCCCTCATTTTCACCCTCGTTTTAAAACTTCATTTTGTGGCTGTAGGTCTCTTCCCTCAATCCTTCACTCAGTTTTCTGATTGGGTGGCTCTGGAGAGTGGGGCTGCCTCTGTGCCCTCCCCCACATCAATACCCCTCAAAGACCTGCCCATTAAAATTGTATTTTTTAATTTCATTTTAACCGTTTCCATCTGAATAAAAGTTCTGAGCAGTAACTATCTTGCCCAAGTTCTTTCTCCCCGTCTTGTTTGTGAGGGCAGACTGGACTTGGATGTTGTGATGAATGTGTGATTTGTTGTGTTGACCCCATCCCGACCAAGGCTCGAACTGACCAGGGCTACTACTGCACAACAACTCCTTCATACTTGAGCGCCATCCATACCACTGACCCAGCAAAGCAGAGATGTTTATTGCACAGTGGCTAATCTTGAGGCGAAAGAAACGCACACCTGTTTAGGCGAGGTGCTGGCTAGCGGAGTCGAACACTTGAAAAATAAAAGGAGAGCCTCACTAGGAGCTCAAATGCAATTTAATGACCAACATTTCGACAGATGAAGACAGCTTGTCTGTCAACGTTGGTTATTAAATTATTGCATCTGAGCTCTTAGTGTGAGGTTTTCCTTTTATTTTTCTGTTGCACAATGGCTAACACTAGCACACACACAGCTAACTTGGTTAGCAATTTTAATTTCGCATTGGTTAAACATGCACAATACTCATCCTCAGAAACCCTAGCAAAATCTCTGGAAATGCTCAAGTTGTAGCAGTTTCAGCTAGATCTCACATTTCTGTAGAAAGAATGGTCAAAACCGCATAAGCAGCCTTAATCTTAACAAATGTTAGTTGAATGTAACCGCTATGTACACAGAGTAAAAAAAAAATTTCAATGTTAGTTTTATGAGCTGAAAAAATGTATCCCAGAAATGTTCCATATGCACAAAAAACGTATTTCATTTTTTTTGCACAAATTTGTTTACATCCCTGTTAGTGAGCATTTCTCCTTTGCCAAGATAATACATCCACGTGGCAGGTGTGGCATATCAAGAAGCTGATTAAACAGCATTATCATTACACAGGTGCACCTTGTGCTGGGGACAAATGAAAGGCCACTCTAAAATGTGCAGTTTTGTCACAACAGAATGCTACCGATGTCTCAAGTTGAGAACGCGTGCAATTGGCATGCTGACTGCAGGAATGTCCACCAGAGCTGTTGCCAGATAATTGAATGTTAATTTCTCTACCATAAGTTGCCTCCAATGTCGTTTTAGAGAATTTGGCAGTACGTCCAACCGGCCTCAAACCGCAGACCACGTTACCACAGCAGCCCAGGACCTCAACATCCGGCTTCGTTACCTGTGGGATCGTCTGAGGGGGGATGATGAGTAGTTCTGTCTGTAATAAAGCCCTTTTGAGGGGAAAAACTCATTCTGATTGGCTGGGCCTGGCTCCCAAGTGGGTGGGCCTATGCCCTCCATGGCTGCACCCCTGCCTAGTCATGTGAAATCCATAGATTAGGGTCTAATTAATTTAATTGACTGATTTCTTTATATGAACTGTAACTTAGTAAAACCGTTAATTGTTGCATGTTGCGTTTTCATTTTTTGTTCAGTATGTGTGTGTATATATTTATATGTATATATATATTATATATATACTAACACAAAGCCAGTAACATTATAGAACATCCATAATACATTAGATTGCAGGCTGTTATAAATTGTGTAAGCATATGCCTATATATTCTCTCCTGCTGTTGCAGGCTCACTGTAGTTTCTGCCTAGTGGTTTGTTCCCATGACATATGGTGGCTCAGCATGAGAGCAATGCACACAGGGCTATGGAGCACCACTCATGATGAGAATACACAGGTGGTGCACTGCATAGGCTTTTAACAGCAGAATCCTAACCAAAACTCACAGCAACAAATACCCTCGCTGTAATGTTATTCAACACTGGAGGGCGCACGCAGTCCTGGAGTTAGGACTTCAATTAGGTGCCTGTCCCAGGCTTACATTCTATAAAATGTGCACTGGAACACTTCTAGTCATAAAGCATTTAGATTGGTAAGACTAGAGGCAGTTTCCACCTGATATGCACCATACTCAACTTAAAATTGCTCAACAAAATTGGAGCATAAACATGCTGATTCTAATGCTAATCTTTTTTACTGATTCAAATGGTAAAGCTGAGCTTTTATATGATATCATTACACTTTTGGAGGTAACATTTTACATTTCAGTCATTTAGCAGACGCTCTTATCCAGAGCAACTTACAGTTAGTGCATACATTTTTCATACTGGCCCCTCGTGAGAATCGAACCCACAACCCTGGCGTTGCAAGCGCCATGCTCTCCCAACTGAGCTACAGAAGCCATGTAAGATTAGCTGCTGTTGGATATACCCATTGAATATAACTTAATAATGCCTTATTAAATGTATCCAACCGTCTTACGCTATACCCTAATTACGTGTAGGCGCAGACAGCATTCTCTGAGCTACGTGATAGAAAGTATTATCTATCCATATACATAATATTTTGACCCAAAATATTAGTGTGGCCCACAGAATAGAGCTCCGTATTCCAACCAAATGAGACCGGAGAATGACGGTGAGTGGCTGGGGCCATTGTGCTCAACTGCAGAAGTCTACACAGCACTTGGGTCAGAGGTCAAAGTGAAGTTGAAAAGGTCAAATCTCCCTCTCTGGAAGGCCACCCAGAGAGAGAGTGAGGAAGGGGGAAAGGAAAAACAAAGGTCCGGCTAGAGAGAGCAGTAACGTGAGCAGGACAGTTTGAATAGTCCTTAAAAATCCACGACTGGTTATCGCCATCCCTGATTTGTCTCGATCATTATGAATGAGCATTACCTTGGCCACTTGTAAATGAACTCGTGCTTTTGGTTTCCAGCAGGGTTCTGCTTCTCTAGCCTGATCCATGACCAGTGTTGGGGAAGCTTCTCTAGCCTGATCCACGACCAGTGTTGGGGAAGCTTCTCTAGCCTGATCCACGACCAGTGTTGGGGAAGCTTCTCTAGCCTGATCCACGACCAGTGTTGGGGAAGCTTCTCTAGCCTGATCCACGACCAGTGTTGGGGAAGCTTCTCTAGCCTGATCCACGACCAGTGTTGGGGAAGCTACTCTGAAATCCTGGTTTACTTACTTTACACTGGAAGACGTTAAGCTATGCTAAAACTACCCTTAAGAGAAATCTAGTTTATTTAACTAAAGCTACTTTGAAAAAGTAGTTCACTACATCCAAACTACTGTACTTCGGGAAAAATTATCATTTCTAAATCTGAAATGTCATAGACTACAAATTGCAAGAACAGATCATCTGGGGCCAGGTGTTAACAGTAAATGAGACTACTAAACACAAAAACGATGTTTCAAGTGAGAATTAGGCAGGTCTGATGCTAAAAAATAAAGGAAATTATTGCCTATTTCCCCCGTATTTTAAAAATCTTTTTGCAAAAAAAAGTTGTGCGTAGTTCCAGTAGTTAGCTACATTTACATTTTAGTCATTTAGCAGACGCTCTTATCCAGAGCGATTTACAGTTAGTGAGTGCATACATTTTCATACTGGCCCCCTGTGGGAAACGAACCCACAACCCTGGCGTTGCAAGCGCCATGCTCTACCAACTGAGCTACACGGGACACCACGACTTGGCAAAAAAGTAATTAACTACTGAAAACACTACCAAGATTTGAATTTAGTTCAACTACCACCAAGCAACTACCAAATGTAATTGAATTACTAGTTGAACTACATGTAGTTCACTACTCCCCAAACACTGTCCACGACCATCCTTACTGCTGCACTCTCATTTTGTTTCACTTCATCAATCAGTCACTAAATCCGTGTAGCAAAACATAATCTAAACTCACAAGATCAGGATGGTCATAGGAGGCTACTGCTTCTCAGGACTTAATCTATCTGACCCTGTATGCTGCTGTAGTAGGAATAATAGTGTGTAATGTGTTATGCCATAGATAGTCTCTGTATAGCTAGCTACTGTATATGATTGGCCCTCGCCAGAGGCGTCACCCACCTATTTATTTTTGAGGGGGCACTTTCTATCTTCCACCATATCTTCAATATTTTCCACATGCAGGTAAATAAAACTGAGGAGGCCTTTTCACTACAGAGAAAGCCCCATAAAGGGGCCCCACTAAAGACCCCCAAGAACCCCTAATGTGACGATAGTATATTAATGTTATATAGGCTGGTATAACTCTGTTGCCTCATACTTGATGTTTCTATCCAGCTCAATTCTAAGGCTACCACCATGTTACACAATGGCTCAAAATAGGCCAATAGTGGCAGCGCAATGGTGGATGTCTAAGCTCGATCTCGAATATTTCAATGAACACGAGCAGGAATGTATGTAGGAATGCTGATGTTTGTTGTCACTCGTTACTGCTCTCTCAGATGCTTTTGACAAAGACGTTTTGTGGGGGTTCACTTAGTTCATTCCCAAATATGGGGGCTGTCAAATGGGATTTGGCCCCCCAGCAGTGAGGTTGCACAGTGAATGGAAGGCTCGTGAGCTGGGTAGTTGATTTCGTTCTCAAATCATTGCCTGTTTTTCCTCCTTTCAACGCTTTAAATTACAAGCCTGTCCTTGCGCTGAATGTTCGCCGTCACAGGGTGTTTTGGTTCCTTTCATCTCGTTTTGGAGGACCGTGAGATATTATTGTCCCCTGCTCGTTGTTAGATTTGACAGCGGGGTCCATTCACCGAGAAATTGGACGCAATTAGAGCAATTATGCTGATTCGCTACTTGTGTTCGAGGCAGAATAGAGTTTT